TCGCAGGCCCAAGCATATAACCAAAAGCATTTTGTAAGGTTTAATTTTGAAGCATGTCATTTTGTAGCAGCTACAGGATATAAAATGTGGTTTCCTCGTTGCACCCTGAAGGTACCAAGTCTTCAAGAAAGTAACCCATTGCGATGGTGGTGGCTTTGTCAAGTTGCAGATGAGGTTGAGGAATGGCGAAGTTGAAGATGTAAAGTGCGAGGCTTGCAAGAAGCTCCTTTCTCATTGCAACTTTGTAGCTGAGACTTTGGAGAAGAGGAAGGAACGAGCGCGACAAGGTGACCCTCCTTTGCAGGATTCAGATGCTACTGCTGCTAACAATTTGCCCAATGGTGACGCAGATGTCGCAGCTGTGGAAGGGAGCGAACTACAGATTGTGCCAGTGATCCCACCAGATCAACAGTTCTCAGCTATTCACAGGGAAATGACCAACAATGCGGAAGCAAATGATGCCAGGGACATCACAACTTTCTTTGAGAGCATACATCCGACATACACCAGATTACCACTAGGGACACATGGAAAGAAGTTTCCAGTTCGATGCAATGTGTGCAAGACGAAAGCTTTTCCCAGTGGCAAGGTCTTGGATGTGACCTCGAACAAGCTGTATGCTGTACGTCACTTCATTGGTCAACATGAAAAGTGTTCCCGACACCAAACAGCCATTCATAATCCTGTTGGAGAGCTCACTCATGGTGGAGAAACGATGGCTTGCCAAGGTTTCATTTTGCACGGCAACGGACCAGAAGCTTTGCATCACTTCCGCGCTCAGTTTCAGAAGTGGACTACCTTTACGAACCTGGAACAATTTGCAAGACACACATATCAGCAGGAGATGTGGTTTGAAAATGATTGAAATGTATCCTTGTTATTCCTTTTTAATCCTTTTTATTTATATAGTCTTATATCTACAGTATAATTTCTTTCCTGTCTCACTACAAAATGACAGGGATGTACAGATACCACACTACAAAATGCATTAAAATATGTTATATATATTGTAGATCTATAGCGTTTACAGTAATACTTTTCTACAAAATGACAAACGACAAACGATGACAAACTGTGCAGGATGCCAACACTGGAATTTGGACCATCAAAACCAGATCCTGCCTGGGCACTTGTCCACAAGACTCTGAGGTTTGCAACAACTGCAGAGTTGTGGGAATGGCACATGGTGTGCTCAGGTACGTCATGCGCTTCAGTGTCAAGTACTACGCGGCAGAGCTTCTCAACGCTCGACTTTTCCAGACGCCAGATCGGGTGAACAGTATCCAGAAGGAGATGAAGGAGTCAGTCGTGTACAGCAAGGACCCGCAGACCATCGACTCTGTCACCAAACTCAGTGCGGCCCACCTGCAAATTTATGTGAGAAGCTCTTGGCTAACCTGTCCAGATTCTTCCACCACAGCGGCCCACAAGGACTTTCTGTCATTGGTTGTGGATCCCTGCCTGCGTATCAACGTGGCCACGGTACCCGATTGCTTTGCAGACATTGTCGCCAAATTCTCCATGTGCATTGCAACAGGCCAGGCCACAGATGCAGACGCAGCCAACATCAAAATTGCCAGCACTGCTATCCAAGGACGCTTCGATGGACATCCTTTGATTCAAGGGATGGCTCTTCAATTGAGAAGGCTGCTGGACAAACAGTCCAGAGGAGTAGCTGTTTGTGGAAGACGAAGCAACGAGTCTGATCGAGAGACGACCTTGATCGCTGATGCGGGAATGGCTTTGGCAATGATGTGTGGGAACAAAGCACTGGCTCGCGAGTTTGGAATACCCAGGAGTTCCCTGTGTGTCGGCATGGACAAGTTGAGCAAGCTGTCCCTGCCGTGTCCTGCTTTGGCCCTTCATTGGCTTGACAAGTTGGAAGAGAACTGTAAGCTCTTGGACCAAAGATATGTACTGCATTCAGGCGATTGTGGACGTCGTGCCTAGGAAATATATGGAACTGTTTGTATCATTTTCATTCATTTTCATTAACCTTGATCCATTTTGTATTGATTATATTAATTCATTTGCTTTTTGTAGCAACACTACCTGCTACAAAATGCAAGGCAATATATGTGGGTCAGTGTGCGTTGGTGTTTCAGGATTGTAGAATGTCATAGAATGTCCACTTCCTAGGACGGTTGATGTGTGCCTTCGATGCCACCTATTTGACCCAGACGCTATGCCAAATGACTCTGCGCTCGCAGCGTGGGCTGGCTGGAGCACCATGGGATCCATCGCTGAAGCAGGAGGTTTTCTATGATTTGAATGACGAATCATTGAACCTGAAGGAAGTGAACAAGGCTGACATCGTCTACGAATGGTTGGTGTGGGATCCTGTGGGATTGCAAAAGTTTCCACTTTCCGCAGCATCAATGCCTATGCAACTGGCTCGTTCAGGCGGCGGGGGGGGACCAGGTGCAGAAGCGAGAGGAAATTGGAGCATGCTACATGCCAATGGCTTATTCCTGAGCGCTTGTGGCAGTGTGATTCGTTGCCTCACATTCGATGCAGCAGGAACACATGCCTATGTCCGGAAGGTTCTACATGGACAACTTCAATCAATAGACCAAGAGGCTTTGAAGGCCCTTCCGTTCTGGTCATCGCTCACTTACGTCAACATGCCAAAGAATTGCTTGCCAAGACTACCGATTTGCCTAGCCTTCGATGGTGAAGAAGTGCTATATGGATTGCCAGGACCATGTGCCTTGGCATGTTTTTTGGGCCTCAGCTATGGTAGCCTGTAAGCAATCACTAGATGCATCCAGACACCACCACCGCAATCAAAATACAACCCCGGAGCGGCCTTTCACTATACAGAATGACCGGCCCCACAGGTATCACTACACAATGACCAGACAAGGTATCCCTAGACTTACCTGGACAGTTTGGAAGGGAATCAAACAGTTTCGTGGTCCAAAGATGTCCAAGCTTCTAAACATATCTAAACATATACTTAAACATATCTAAACATCATTTTGACTGGAAGCATCGAGGGACTACAAAATGCATGGACCTTCTCAGATTCCTCATGATCCTCAGGAACTTTCCGAAACACCTAATGTTCCCAAAGA